CTCAGATTTCTGACTTTAATCTAAGGATTCTGACTTTAATCACAGAATTCTGACTTTAATCTAAGGATTATGACTTTAATCACAGAATTCTGACTTTAATCTCAGAATTCTGACTTTAATCTCAGGATTATGACTTTAATCTCAGAATTCTGACTTTAATCTCAGATTTCTGAATTTAATCTTAGGATTCTGACTTTAATCACAGAATTCTGACTTTAATCTCAGGATTCTGACTTTAATCTCAGAATTCTGACTTTAATCTCAGATTTCTGACTTTAATCTAAGGATTCTGACTTTAATCACAGAATTCTGACTTTAATCACAGAATTCTGACTTTAATAAAATGTAAAAATTAATGAACTCATTTAATTTTTTCAGTGGCCCTAATCCTCTTCCGTAGATATTTAGAGGGACTAACCGGACCTTATTTACACCCCAACACCTGCCAGATTTCACCATGATGCTGAGCCGTTGAAACACGAAACCAATAACAAAGCAGACAGTGGTACTTTTAATTACTATGTTAATAACTGTGTATAGTTCATTAGACGGTTCGTAAAAAATAAACTTTCAAACCGCAATAAAGATCTTAAAAGAACGATGTATTTGAGTGTTTTATTCTTTACGCTACAACTTGGAATTATGGGTAATCCAGAGCATAGATTAAAACCATTACCGTTACGTACAATGTGTTAGCGGCGATGGTTACCAAAAAGAGGTACTTAAGCGGATTCCAGAAAAGAAAAAGAAGAGAAGACCTGCTGAAAGAATGGGGTGTTGTACTTCATATGGGGCCCACTCAGATAATGTTCCTCACGGGCCTATTGTTGTGTCCTTATGCCACTGAACACAGGCTATCTAATAAAATAAAATAATTTCAATACCAGATAAATACTACGAGGCACTATATATCCATGTCAGTACAATGGTAGTACTATAAGTCAGGCGCGTTTAACCTTTGAATTAAGAAAAGGTAAACAGAGGCGTAGCCAAAAAATTTTAATAGGGGTGGCCAGTCAAAAACCAATGTAAACTGAGGGGTGGCTGAAAGTGGATAGGCGCCAGAACCTAACGGTCCATCTACGCTGTTCCAACAGGAACAAGCACAACAAATATGGATATTTACTAAATAAAGATAAACTATATCTTCCTACTATTTTCCTTTTGATTACAAATAGAGGCATATATTTAAACATCCATGCTGTCTAAATAAAAGGTATAGTTGACAAAATGGCTGGGGCAAACATCTTTTCCATTTTATTTATCTATAATTTCACTGAAAACTCCTTCATGACTTGCAGAGACACATTATTTTCTCTGTACCCCATATAACACAAAGTTAGGGTCTTAAAAGTGCATGAATTCTGTACATATCAACTATAATGGTAGTATTTAGATGTGCATAATTAACCACAGTGTTTTAGTGGTCAAGTAACTATTAATATATGAAAAATGAAAATGTTTAATAAGTTTAAACATTCCTCTTGATAGTATTACTGCTGCCACCGTCTGTATTAGAGGGAAATAAATGGTAGGCGTGGCCAATAATTGGCTAAGTGTGGCCATGGCCACCCCTGGCCCTCCATCTAGCTCCGCCCCTGAAATTTAGGTAATTTGTCATTCATTTACATTAAAAAAAGTGTTTGAATCCGAGTGATCTTTGTCTTCTTAAAAAATATATATATATCCCAGTTATAAATACTAAGAGTTTGAATATGATTTTACAATTTTACATTTGTGAATGTTTTACAACCATTGTGTCGGTCGTTACTGAGCCTGTCCAACCTGCCAGCTCCTACCGGAAAAGGAACGACCTTGGAGTCAGAAATTCTGATTTGGAAATTCTGTAATCTTTGTTTTATTTGACTTTAAAGTTGAAAAATTATAATGTAAAGCTACTAGAATCACCACAGTGCATCACATAAGTCACCAAGAAGCCCAGGGTTTAGAATACAGTTTTTTACAATTGCCATGAAAGATTTTTCAATACTTTGAACAATTTTCCAAAACTCTTAACACAGTTAGCTCTACATCTGCATGTGTAAGCTATACTATTAACACATTTTTTCTTGCTTTAACACATAATGCATACTATTAACTACAGAAACTGCAATTTTTTAGATGTTAGGTGTGCCCTTATACAATAGACAGTAACTGTACAAGGACCCACCTCTGTTTTGCACATGCATTTTGTTTTGTTTGCTGCAGAAAGTAGCTTTATAGAATTTACATTTTATGAAACAAAAGACAGAGACAGAATTGCTGCAGTATACGTAAATACTATATATGCAAAAGGAAATTACTGCAAGATATACTATTAGAAATACTCTGGAAAACCGGAAAAATACAAATAAAAAAAT